ACACACACATACACATACACACACACACACACATAATAACAACCATACACACTCAGAGAAACACACAGACAGAAAGATGCACACATACAGAAACACACACAGAAAAAACAGATAGAGAAACACACACACACACACACACACACACAAAGAAACAGAAACACACACAGAATGAGAAACACAAACAAACACAGAAAGAGAAACACACACACGCACACACACACAAAACAGAAACACACATTGAATGTGAAACACACACACACACACAGGCAGAAACAGAAACACACTGAATGAGAAAAAACAAACACACATGCACACACACACACACACTCGGAGAAACACACAGGCAGAAACACATAGAAAGAAACACACACAGAAAGAAACAGAAACACACACACACACAAAGAAACAGAAACACACACAGAATGAGAAACACACACACACACACACACACACACACACAGAAACACACATACACACTCAGAGAAACACACACACACACACACACACACACACACACACACAGAAATAAACACACACAGACACACACACACACAAAGAAACAGAAACAGACACAGAATGAGAAACACACACATACACATACACACACACAAACACACACACACACATAAAAACAACCATACAAACTCAGAGAAACACACAGACAGAAAGATGCACACATACAGAAACACACACAGAAAACAACAGAGAGAAAAACACACACACACACACACACACACACAAAGAAACAGAAACACACACAGAATGAGAAACACAAACAAACACAGAAAAAGAAACACACACACATGCACACACACACACACACAAAACAGAAACACACACTGAATGTGAAACACACACACACACACACACACAGGCAGAAAGAGAAGCACACACACACACACACACAGAAAGAAACACACAGACAGAAATACAAAGAGAGAGAGAAACACACACACACACACACACACACAGAGTGACACATAGCAACTTGGATGGAATTTCTCACTTCTAGACATTCAATAAGATCTGCGATCTACATCCAAATAAAAGGGGGCCAGCTGCGTGTCTGTGTGTGCGTGTGTGTGCATTGCTGTCTGTGACTGTGTATCTCGCTGTCTGTCTCTCTATCTGTGTGTGTGTGTGTGTGTGTGTGTGTGTGTGTGTGTGTGTGTGGCATCTCAGAAGCGTCTTGCCACTTTTGAATGTGAGTAAATGTTGTGATTATCAGTTGATGCCCAAAAGTGACATCAGTTTACATTCATGCATACCCAAAGCGACTTACACACCGTGAACACACACCAATTTTAATATGAACTTAACAGACATCAAAAATGTTGAGGAGTCGTGTAGCTGCATATGAACGAAGACTATAACATCACCGCCTCCTTTCATTCTCATTGAAAACACAAAACATTTCCTCTCTTCTGCTGAATATCACTCCTAATAATCAATGATGGCCATTATAAATGTGTGACATACAATAAGTTTATACATTATAAGACAGTCAAGCAATCAGTCAAATGTGCAGAATCAGTGTATTAATTATATTAAAGGGCACCTAGGTTACCCCTTTTTTCAGATTTAATATAAGTCTTTTGCGTCTCTAGAATGTGTATATAAAGTTTCAGATCAAAATACCCATCAGATTTTTCATTATAGCTTTTACAAGATGCTGTTTTATACTGATTTCCAGCAGGGGGTGGTTTTGCCGTACTGCGCCTTTAAGCCGAGTTCTGCCCGCCTACTCTCCTCCCTCAGCTGCGTCAGACAACAGACAGACTTAAAGGAAGAAGGTCTCACGTAGCGTTTGTGAGATACTACAGTAAGAACTAACCTTTACTAATCAGTATTGTGAAGTTGCATTGATGAGTCACACACAATATCACGCACGCACGCACGCACGCACACACACACACAGGCAGACAGACAGACAGAGCGCGCTTAGCTTAGTTAAGGCTAACCTCAAGTACTGTGTGGATATCTGTTATGCTAATGTACAAAATAAACCTGATTTAACTTCCACAAACCGGGATTGAAGCGTCTTCTGTTATAATTGTTCTGACACGCGGCTGTGCTGATGAAGTAAAGCTGAAGTAAAACGCTGTAATTAATACACACATATTCTGTTTTAAAACACTTTAAACATGTGAAACTGACTCTTAATCACATTTGATGATGATTGCTGATCCTAGCGAACAGAACAGACCTTTTATTCCCGGTTGCTTTGCGTATGTCTGTCTGGTCTTGTTGACATATACACGCGACTACCGGAACATGTTAATGCACGCAGCTGTCAATCAATTCGGTGGGCGGGGGAATCGCACACCTTCGTAATGGTGCGATCGATTTGAAAACAGCTCCAATTGGCCGACCCTTTTTTTGTAGTTAAATTGAAAAAAAAGGGACTGGGTGTGTTCATATCCCCCCTGTATGACGGTCTATACACTATACCAACACACAGATCTGTCCAAACAGCTTGAAAAGTAGATTTTTTTACATAGGTGCCCTTTAATATACAAACTTATACTTGCGCTAAGCCAAAAGACATTACCTGCAGGACAAGTGATAGATTCAAAAGACCAAAGCCGGGGAATATGTTGTCAGATATAGACAACAAGATGAATGAAATATCAAGTTTAACAAATATAGTGAGATGAGATCTCACTGCTCTCACCTGCGGAGGTGTGCTCAAAGCCCTCGCTGACTACATGGAGCTCAGACATGTCTGCATACACTGCAGCGCATGCCAGAGTCTGTGTGTGGCAACCTCCCGCTCTCCCTCAGGAAGCCAATACGGAAGTAACTAAAACTGCAATTCATCGAAATTCCGCTAGTCCTGGCCGCTCCTGGCTCCATAATAGAGCAAATTTCAATTAATCCCACTGTTAGAATGGCCAACTTTACAGCAGAAAAAAGGTGTTTACAGCCTGCTACAAAAAAAGATATTGGTTAATACAGGTAATATCACCCTTCATGACAACTGTGAGGGGGTGAATTTTTTTATAACTCATCCGTTTCCTTTATATTAAGTTATATTAAGTTTGCATTAATTAAGGGCGTGGCCACTTGAGTGACAGCTTGGTCTCGTTGGTCGCCGTCACCTCAGCTGAATCCTGCAGATTAGCCACTGAACTCGGCATATTTATCTATTTCTGTGTTGTTTTATGTGGCTTTACAGTCGACTGCCTTTTGGACTTGTTTCCTACAATTATTAGATGGCATGGCATGCTGAGTGCACTTAATTGTGCTCACAAACCATTCACGCGGCCTCTGTTTCCCATGTGAGTAAAGTTATATACTTATATACCATCTCTATACATGTATTTGTTTTATTTAAGATCATTTATCGTTTATATTTAGAGCTGTAATGCGTTTCAGAATCTGTCAGATTAATTAGCTGTGGGCTCTAGAACAGTCATCTGAAGCGTTGTCATACAGTGTTATGCTGGATTTCATCAATAGTCTTACATTAACTAACACAGACTATATCTGAAGTGTTTGGAAGTAATTCGCGTTTTCCTCCTGTTGAAAAACGTCATAAGAACAATGTTTAGTGGCTCAGTGTGTTACAGCAGTGTTTTTAAAAGTCTAAACACTTTATTGATATAGTGTACAACCAAGCACAAGTGGTCAGAACACAAGCGAGTCGCAGGTGATAAAGTATTAAGCGTTCTCCCAAAGTAAAGTGTGTCTGAACCAGGTCCAAGCTAAATGCCAGCAGGTGTCTGTAGCTCCGCTCACTCTCCGCCTCTTTGCCCTTGTTTGCTATCCCGCCGTGGGTGTGATGACGCGCGAACAAAATGGCAACGGTTGGCCACGCCTACTTGAGGCTTCTTTTGCGCTCTTCAGAAATCTATGGGTGACGTCACGGATACTACGTCCATATATTGTACAGTCTATGGTGGTCACGTGATATGTGTTTTCAGCAGTGTAGTGGGGACGTAGAGCTCTTCAGAAATGCTAGCTGAAACGCCAGTGTTGTTCTAAAACTAAAACATATTAGTGTAAACGGGGCCTTATTCTCCCCACCAACAATTCCTGCTGATGCGGGTCTCAAACCTGTGACTTTTGGATCCCAAGTCCAACTCTCTATCCAATACGCCATCATATTTTTACCATATAGCCATTTAAGCTAAACGCCAAATCACCAACCTACTGACTGAACTTGTGAGTTTAGTTGGCTAATGGTGGTTTTGGGAAACACACTCCTGCATTAGCGCTCTGTGGAGTCTCTCTCCGGCTCTCCTGTAGGATCTGAGGGTTCGTCTTTTTTTTTGTTTTTTGTGAGTGTCCTGTACTCGATGAGCGTCACGATGGTGCAGTGGGTAGCACGATCACCTCACAGTAAGAAGGTCGCTGGTTTGAGTCCCAACTGGGTCAGCTGGCATTTCTGTGTGGAGTTTGCATGTTCTCTTCACATTGGCGTTGATTTCCTTCGGGTGCTTTGGTTTCCCCAACAGTCCAAACACATTGCCGTGTAAAACATATGCTGGAATAGTTGGCGGTTCAGGGCGAAGCAGTGGTGCAGTAGGTAGTGCTGTCGCCTCACAGCAAGAAGGATGCTGGGTTGCTGGTTCGAGCGTCGGCTCAGTTTCTATGTGGAGTTTGCATGTTCTCCCTGCATTTGCATGGGTTTCCTCCTGGTGCTCCGGTTTCTACAGTCCAAAGACATGCGGTACAGGTGAATTGGGTAGGCTAAAGTGTCTTTAGTGTATGAATGTGTGTGTGGATGTTTCCCAGAGATGGGTTGCAGCTGGAAGGGCATCAGCTGCATAAAAACTTGCTGGATAAGTTGGCAGTTCATTCCGCTGTGGTGACCCCGGATTAATAAAGGGATTAAGCCAACAAGAAAATTGATGAATGAATGAGTTGGCGGTTCATTCCGCGGTGGCACCCTCTGATAAATCAGAGACTAAGCTGAAGGAAAATGAATGAATGAATGATGGATGTGTCACATGATGAACATGTAAACGCAAACTTGATTTCCGGTCATATTACGAATGATTTATCAGTGCACATTATTGCAGACTCATGTATGTGAAACATCGTTTATTTCTTTATCTGATGCCACACTGTAAAAAAAATACAAATGAAAATCCAGTTTACCATCAATTTCTGAGCGAACACTTTAATTACTGACATTTTTTCGTCCCTGCGACTCTCCCAGTATTCACCACATAGTCATTTAATGCCAGTCAACATGACTTATCTCATGTGAAGTCAACAGAAGAGAAATGCGATGCTTTCAATGCATCTCCAAAAAGAAAAAGCAAAACCCGGCACTTTTAAAATAATGAACAATATGGAGATGAAATGGTTTGCAGATGCAGTTTAATGTGGACTCCACATCCAGACACAGATAAAGCAGTGAAACGCTGAGCTGTTTACTTCTGCTCTCCGGCCACCTGCATCAAACCTGCTTATCTGATCTATTCAAATCAACAGCATCAGCACAACTGACCCCAAATATTCAGACCAATCATATTAGGATGGCGAGGAGGCAGCGGAGAACAGGGTCATCTCTATGCTGACAAATTATAAGAGTCGAGCTGCAGAGAAACAAATATAATCTATTTCAACTTGGGAAACATGCGGCATGGTGGGTCAGAGGTTAGAACTGTCAGCTGACAGCAAGAAGGTTCCTGGTTCGAGTCCCATCTGGGTCAGTTAGTGTTTGTGTGTGGAGTTTGCATGTTCTCCCCGTGTTGGCGTGGGTTTCCTCAGGGTGCTCCGGTTTCCCCTACAGCCCAAACACATGCTCTATAGAGGAATTGATTAACTGAATTGGCTGTAGTGTATGAGTGTGTGTGTGTGTGTGTGTCAATGTGAGTACTGGGTTGCAGCTGGAAGGCCATGCGCTGCATTAAACATATGCTGGAATAGTTGGTGGTTCATTCCGCTGTGGCGACTTCTGAAATAGAGACTAAGCTGAAAGGAAAACGAATGAATGAACTTGGCAAACACAATATAATCGGCATGTAATCGCCTGATATCAGCATATCAACTAATTATTGGCATCTGATATGCAAAAATGATGCCGATGTGCTTTGTTAATGCAGGAGAGTTAGGTCTGTCATGATGAATAACTTTTGATGTGCGATATATTGTCAGAAATTATTGCGATAAGTGACACTATCATCATTTTAATGCCAATTAATGCCTGTGTTTACACAATGCCTATACAACAGCATAGACTGTAAATAGGCATTAACACTTTAGGACACAATCGGACAAAAAACACAGTAAAAGTCCCTGTAAAATGCCTTTAGATTAATTTTTTCATTATTTACGCCACTTTTTACGCAGCTTTGAAACTGAGCTCATTTTGGACACCTTCCAAAACGTCAAAAGTTTTAGGGAAAATCTGAAAATTCACCTTTTCTTCGCTTGTTAGTAAGCATCGTTTGTAAAAGACTTTCCTGAAGTCAGCGCCAATGATGTAGTAGTTAGTGCGTTGACACGTTGCACTCCGGTGCAGGGCTGTGCATGGGATGGCCTAATGGCTAGAGCCACTGCCCCTCTGCCCTAATTGGCTGAGTTGTCCTTCTCAGCAAAAGCAGAGCAACCCCTTACATCCCCCCCACCCCCCCCCCCCCCACAATCTTCACTTTGTGATCGCCCTACCCCCCCTCACTTTGCCATTGACCCCCCCTCTTCACTTTGCGATCGCCCACACCCCCCTGTGCAGGTCTGTGCACAGGCCTGCACCGGTGTTTATGACGACCGGAGTTCGATTCCCGCCTTGAGGTCATATGCAGATCCTTTCCCTCTCTCTGCTTGCATGCTTTTCTGTCTATACACTACACTGTCCTATGCATTAAAGGTGAAAACCCTATGGGAAAAAATACATTCCTGAACTCAGACACCGTGCAAACTTGATCAATGATATATGTTGCATAACCAAACGGTACTGAGGTCACGTCCATTTAGTTAAGTTTGTTTATAAAGTAATTGAGAGGATCCCGTGCTTATGATTGCTTGCGGCCGGTGCATTATTGAATTTATGATTCACCAATCAGACGATTCCTAAGCCTCTATAAATACCCTCAGTTCCATTTCACAGACATCTTCATTTTGAAGATTCCCCCCTTCCACCCCTACTCCTCCTCCTAGGCGACATGGTGGTCCAGTGGTTCGCACTGTTGCCTCACAGCAAGAACGTCCCTGGTTCTAGTCCTTACCAAGCCAGCCAACGTTTCTGTGCAGGGTTAAAACGTTCTCCCCATGCTCACATGGAGACATTTCCCCCGGGTTCCCCGGTTTCCTCCCACCGTCCAAAAACATGCAACCGGAGTTAATTGACTAATCTAAATCAGCACCATAGACATGCTCCTAGTAAGTAGTTATCTCTAAAGAGCAATCACTATCTGTTCATTAACTACAGCAGCAGGGGAGTGCTCAAACTCCCCTCTCGCCCTGCAAACGGGAGGGAGCCCCGAGCACGAGGATCTTATGAGCTCAGGGCTCTCTCCTGGGACAGCATGCCAAACACGCTTTATAATCAATCATCAGCTAAGTGTGAACTCTTGTATTGCATGATAAGTCGACATATTGATTACTGAGACAGGAAAGCATTCTTAGTCTACATATAGAAAAAAACTCAAAGGTCATAATTGACTAAAATGTAGGCTGATATGATTATTATGTTGATGGACCAAGCAAGAACAAGAGGTTAAATACATTTTAAATCTAGCTTTACAAATAAATCATTCATTCATTTTCTTGTCGGCTTAGTCCCTTTATTAATCCGGGGTCCCCACAGCGGAATGAACCACCAACTTATCCAGCAAGTTTTTACACAGCGGATGCCCTTATAGCCGCAACCCATCTCTAGGAAACATCCACACACACATTCACACACACGCTTATAAAGCACGGACAATTTAGCCTACCCAATTCACCTGTACCGCATGTCATTGGACTGTGGGGGAAATCGGAGCACCCGGAGGAAACCCACACAAAGGCAGGGAGAACATGCAAACTCCACACAGGAATGCCAACTGAGCCGAGGTTCGAACCAGCGACCTTCTTGCTGTGAGGCGACAGCACTACCTACTGCGCCACTGCCTCGCCCGCTTTACAAAATAAATGAAAAATAAAAATATTGACAGCATTATAGTCTGATGTAATGAGCTGGTTTCTAAAATTAGGCATTTTGTTGGATTTTAAACAAACAAAAAACATAAAAATGTTGTAGTTTTCAACTAAACCCTTCACTTTAATTCATCTAATCAGTATTGTATTTAAATTAATTAATTTTTAAGTTGTCAGTTGTATTTACAGAGAAGTTATGCCGAATAACTAAATGACTAACTTCTTTTTTTTAGTGGGGCCAGAGAAGGTTGCTGGTTCGAGTCCCAGCTGGGTCAGTAGGCATTTCTGTGTGGAGTTTGCATATTCTGCGAGGGTTTCCTCCGGGGCTTCGGTTTCCCCCACAGTTCAAACACATGCGAACACAATCAAATTGAAAGACCTATTTTATACCTACCGTGTAAAAAAAAAGGCAATGATAGGTCCCCTACCTTTAAGAGTTTTGGTCTTTTTTCCAGTTCTTAAGTCAAGAAGCATTTTCTAGACAAGCAAAAACTATTGTCTTGTTATTAGAAGTAATATGCCAAAGCTTATGGCAATGCGGGTGGAGTGTTAGGTAGTGCTGTCGCCTCACAGCAAGAAGGTTGCTGGTTTGAGCCTCTGCTGGGTCAGTTGGCATTTCTGTGTGGAGTTTGCATGTTCAGGCGAGGCAGTGGCGCAGTAGGTAGTGCTGTGCAAGAAGGTCGCTGGGTCGAACCTCGGCTCAGTTGGCGTTTCTGTGTGGAGTTTGCATGTTCTCCCTGCGTTCGCATGGGTTCCTCCGGGTGCTCCGGTTTCCCCCACAGTCCAAAAACATGTGGTACAGGTGAATTGGGTAGGCTAAATTGTCCGTAGTGTATGAGTGTGTGTGTGTGTGTGAATGTTTTCCAGAGGAGGGCATCTGCTGAGTAAAAACTTGCAGGATAAGTGGGCGGTTCGTTCCACTGTGGCCACCCCAGATTAATAAAGGGACTAAGCCAACAAGAAAATGAATGAACGAGTTTGCATGTTCTCCTCGTGATAGCGTGGGTTTTCTCCAGGTGCTCCGGTTTCCCCTGCAGTCCAAACACATGGTACAGGTCAATTGGGTAGGCTAAATTGTCCGTATGTGTGTGTGTATGGTGTTTCCCAGTGATGGGTTGCAGCTGGAAGGGCATCCACTGTGTAAAACGTATGCTGGATAAGTTGGCGATTAATTCCGCTGTGGCGACCTCAGATTAATAAAGGGACTAAGCCGAAAAGAAAATGAATGAATGAATGTCAAAATTTAGTAAAATAATCTTTTTGTTTTGACATTATTCTGCTTACCCCTTTAGCACAGTATTTTGCTTGATTTATGTTAAATGGCAATTCTTGTTGATATTCCAGGTAAAAATATTCATTTTTGTTTGCTTGTTTTGTTATAAACTGTTCACACATAGCCAAAAAAAAAACTATTACTATATATTAGTGTACAGTACACGCCAAAGACATACATTTCCTCACACTCAAGCGGTTCTAATCATCTATAAAAAACTATTCTGCTGTTAAACACAAATGAAGATATACTGAAGAATGCTGGAATAAAACATTACGGGATTGTAACTGAAGGATGCTGACAACGGACGTGCAGTACTTTATTACACAGAGAATGGTCAGGCAGGCAATGGTCACAATCAGAAGCAAACGGTAACACACAGGGGAATCCAGAAGTGTAGTCAGATAACAGGCAAATGGCTGATACAGGCAGCAGGCAGGATAAACAATAAAACAATGCGGAAAAAAACAAACACGGAAAACACTTCGTAATGTTACGGGTTGTGTACCAACAAGCCATGTCTGTGAGTGTGTGTGCTGTTTATATGGTCCATGTAATTAGTCTTGAGTAGCTCCCAAATGCGTACATGTGTAATCAATGGAGAACCGCGACAGGTGTGTGTGTGTGGTGCCTGAAGGGAGTTGTAGTTCACATGGTAGCAGAATTGTAGTCCGAGTGAAGTGAATGTTCTCCAGCAACCTATGAGAGTTAGATCGCTGGTGATCTTGACAGGTATAGTGTTTCAGTATATCTTTATTTGTATCCAACTAAAGAGAAAAACTCGGTTTGGATCAAGTGAGTGCAGTAAATGAGGACAGAATGTTCCTTTTTAAACTGTTGCTTTATTGATATTTGTTTAGTTTACTGTGAGCATGGAGTACTGTCAGATTCGTGCTATTTAGAAATGCACAGTTAATAAACTGCACCTATTTGCATGAAGCACTTTAGGGCATCTCACACTCATCCCTGTGTGTGTGTGTGTGCAGGGACGGCAGTGTGTGAAGCGCTCAGCAGAGATTCAGAGATGAACTGAGCTTTACTGATGTCCAGCGGCTTTACTGGAGGATGGAGGAGCTGGACGAGAGAGAGAGACCTGCGGTGTGTGTGAATCACGAGGTGAGTGGCTACTACACTCTTCAACTCTGTCTATGATGAAGAGACTTACATTGTATCCCAATTGACAGACGGTGCACTATGCACTAATAAACTCAACCGTGTAGTGTATGAGAATAGTGTCATCTCAAACGAAACATTAATATTTAGGCGCATTATTAGGTGGTTCAGGGTGGTTGTTGATAATGGGTAATTATTAAGCATTTATGTTCATTTATTCTGGATTTTCGTCGGTTACTAGGGTATCCTGGATTGGTTGCTATGTGGTTGTTTACATCAGAATTGACTCTTTAGTATTTATTGTTTTTGATTCTAATATAAGTCTGTGATTGGACAGTCAAACCCATAGTCCTGCCTCAAACTCGCCTGATTGGCTCTTGAGTGAGAAGTTTGAATCCCAATATGCTGTTAATAATACCTGTTAATGAACAGTGTCTGTATTTAGTGATTCACAAGTGTTTATTTGTGGTGGGGAATTGCATTATGGGATGTTGATCTCTGCTCTGTCCACTTTTGATGTTGAAAATTCAACTGTACAGTTTAACCAAGTGACTTTATTGACATTTTAGTAGTTTGAGATAATATAATGTAGAAGAAAAAATAGAGAGAGAGAAAAAGTCTGTAAAATAACAGAAAATGCCAACTGAACTAAAATAAAAAAAAATAAATAAATAAATGAATGACTAGAAAATAAATAATGTGTGTGTAGATAGATAGATAGATAGATAGATAGATAGATAGATAGATAGATAGATAGATAGATAGATAGATAGATAGATAGATAGATAGATAGATAGATAGATAGATAAATAGATAGATAGATGAAAATTAAAAAATAAAACATAGATATAAAATAAATAAATAGAAGTAAAAATACATAAAATAAATGGATATAAACAAATAATTAAATAAAATAAATAAATACACAAAATTAAAGATATAAAAATAAATAAATGAATGAATATAAATAATATAATAAAATAAATAAATAGAAAAAATAATATTAAAATAAATAAATACATATAAAAATAAATAAATGTATAACTAAATGAATAATCCAATAAAATAAATAAAAAGACAAAATAAAGATATATAAACATGAATGAATATAAATAATAAAATAAAATAAATAAATAGAAAAAATAGATATAAAAATAAATAGATAGATATAAAAATAAATGAATTAATGAAAATAAATAAATAAAAAATAAATAAAATAAAATAAAATAAAGTAGATATAGTGCAGTGGGTAGCACGATCGCCTTACAGCAAGAAGGTCGCTGGTTCGAGTCCCGGCTGGGTCAGTTGGCATTTCTGTGTGGAGTTCTCTCTCTGTGTGGCCATTTGTGTTGGCTGGTTATGTTGACCTCATGCTCTTTTATTTTTACTTTTGGTAGTTAAACTAAATTTTGAGGATGTATGTCCTATCTGTTGAGAAATAAATCTCACATGGAGCAATTTTGGCTTGTGTTCTATTTCCTTTGACCCTCGGTCCCTTACATACCCTATAGAGAAATTGATTAACTAAATTGGCCGTAGTGTGAATGCAAGAGTGTATGGGTGTTTCCCAGTGATGGGTTGCTGCGTAAAACATATGCTGGACAAGTTGCCAAATTATTTCACTGTTGCAACCCCGGATTAATAAAGAGACTAAGCCGAAAAGAAAATGAATGAATTTATAAATATAAATAAATAAATAAAAAACAAATAATAAATAAATAAATATTTTAAAAAAATAAATAAATATTAATCAAACAAACAGGAGTGAAATAGAGCATTTGAAAAGTAATAGCGTCTCTTTCAGATGGATGTTTAGTGTTTCAGTGTCGCAGTATAACCGATCTGCTTCAGATCTTCTGTCTGCCCGGTTTGTGCCCTGTTAAGCATCTGTTTGGCACAATAAAAGCAGATAAAATGGCATCTTTTTCTGATTTTCCCTCCAAAACATGGCGTCTTTTTTCTCAGCATCTGCCATCTGTGCGTCCGTTAGCGGCTCTGTCTAATTGCATTTGCATATTCTTGATTTAGCCGGAGGGAGGAGAAAGCAGCTAATCGCTCGTGAACGCTCATGCTAATCTGCGGACGCGAGAAACAATCCACTGAAAGGGCCATTTTTGAGCTGTCAGTGCGCTTGAGATGCTGCGTATGGGACGCCAGACTGAGGCCCTCATATGCAAATCACACACTATAAAGACCAATCAGAGCAGACCAGAGCCGAGCATGACCCGCTAATGGAGGGACGATTACAATTAGTAGATTTATACTGTGGGTGTGTGTGTGTGTGTGTGTGATTCTATGTGTGTGCCTGTGTGTGTGCGTGCATGTGTGAATGTGTGTGCACATGGGTAAATGTTTGTGTATGTGTTTAAAGCACAGCAATTTTTTATTTATTTAAGACTTTAAATTCTATTTTATTTTTTATTATACATTTTTTATTTTATATTTTAATTTTGTATTTATTTAAATTTTTTATAAATTTTGCATTTGTGTGAACACTTTATTTTATATTTGAAATTATATGTATATATATATATATATATATATATATATATATATATATATATATATATATAATATTTTATATGTTTTAATGGTATCATTATTTTTATTAAATACATATTTTTAATTATTTTTATACATTTTATATTTCTATTTTTATTTATTTATTTTTATTTTAGTTTTTAAATTATATATATTGTTTTTATTTGACATTTTTAATATTATATTTATTTTAATTATATATTTAAATTATTTATATTTATTATTATCATTTTATTTTGAATTTATTTTATTTATTAATATTTATTTATTTAAGTTTTATTATATATTTTTATTAATTTTACATTTATTTTATTTTGATTTTATATAATTTCTATTCTATTTTCTATTATTTTCATTTTATTTTATATTGTTTTTCTTTTATTTATATTTATTTTTATTAATTTTATATTTATTAATTTATTTTTATTATTTAACATTTATTTTATTCTTTTTTATTTAATATTATTTTATTTAATTTTATAATTTATTTCACTTTATTTCATTTTATATTTTTATTTTTTATTATTTTATTTTACTTTTCCACATTGTCCAGCCCAACACACAAGCACAAACCAGAGCCTTGAGAGAACATTTCAAAGCTATTTATTTCAGAAAAATAATAATAATTAGCCAAAATAAAAATCTTAGCCCCATACTCTACTTATACACTCTAGAGATCTGATCTGGAACATCTTTCATTCATTCATTCATTTACTTTTCGGCTTAGTCCCTTTATTATTCTGGGGTCGCCACAGCGGAATGAACCATCAATTCATACAGCAGATTTTTACACAGTGGATGCCCTTCCAGCCGCAACCCATCACTGGGAAACATCCATTTACACTCATACACAACGGACAATTTAGCCAACCCAATTCACCTGTACCACATGTGTTTGGCCTGTGGGGGAAACCGGAGCACCCGGAGGAAACGCACGCAAACGCAGGGAGAACATGCAAACTCCACACAGAAACGCCAACTGACCCAGCCGAGGCTCGAACCAGCGACCTGTGAGGCGACAGCACTACCTACTGCGCCACAGCGTCGCCTGTCTGGAACATCTTATAAAGCAAAAGTGTCCATTTTCTCACTTTCCATTGAATCTCTTTGCTGTCATGAAGAAAACAAATCTAGATGTAGAGCATTTGTGAAGTTTTGTCCACTCATGTTCATTTCAGCACAGTAAAACACACACACACACACACACACACACACTCACACATGCACGCACGCACAAACACACTCTCTCTCTCTTTTTTTCAGTGATCTGGGTCTGAGACGCTCTAAATGAGTTTCTAATTCTGCTGTGGGTTTATTTTTAGCAGAAGTGAAGTTGTCAGATGTAGGACAGGATCTGAGGATGGAGATCAAACTCAGAGCAAACAGAAGCTTTATGTGTGTGTGTGTGTGTGTGTGTGTGTCAGTCAGAAAAACTAAACACTAAAACACCATTAAAAACGCAGTCAAATAAGCACACACTGATGATACACAATCACACTGTAATAACTCATTTTAATAACTGCTTTGCCATGATGACAGTATCATCAGATAGCTGGTCCGAGTCAAGATCGCTGGTTCCCGGTTTCTGTGTGGAGTTTGCATGTTCTCCCCATGTTGGTGTGGGTGTCCTCCGGTTTCCCCCACAGTCCAAACACATGCGCTATAGGGGAATTGAATGAGCTAAATTGGCCATAGTGTATGTGTGTAAATGAGAGGGTATGGGTGTTTTCCAGTACTGGGTTGCAGCTAGAAGGGCATCTGCTGTGTAAAACATATGCTGGATAAGTTGGCGGTTCATTCCGCTGTGGGAATCGCTGATTAATAAAGGGACTAAGCCGAAAAGAAAATGAATGAATGTTTCTGTAAATCAAGTGTTAATGAATGGGTTTTCTGACTAAAAACAGTTTAAGATTTGCATTTAGTAAATGACTATTTTATTAACCATAATAACCAAGTATTTTTGTTACTCAAAGTAAAATGCATATAACAGTAACAAAACAAACTTATTTAAAAAGATATATTTTCAGTTGCAAATATCGCTTCAAAGTCTCATTTATTTTAGCTTGATATAGATCAATTCTAACCTAACAAATGTATACACACACACACACACACACATGTACATTTTATATAATTTGTTTTACATTTACATATATATATATACATATATATTTTAATTATACTTTATTTTATATATTTTTGTTATTTTATTTATTTGTTAACCTAATATTTATTTTACTTTATATTTTATTTTATATTTAATTTTTTTAATTATTTATTTTTTTATTTTATATATTTTTTATTTTTCATTTTTTAAATTTTTTTATAGTTATTTATTTTTTATTTTATGTTATTTAGTACAAAAATATTTTTATTAACTATAATAATAGTCTTTTTGTTACTAAAAATAAAATGCACAAAAAACAAAATTATTTAAAAAAATACTTTCAGTTAGTTGCAAA